ATATATATATGTATAATTTTTTTAAAAAATCAGTTTTAATATTTTTATTTTACATCGTAAGTATTAAAAAAAGATCAACATATGTACCTTGGCAACATAAGCATTTAATTTATCCACATACCTTGCTGAAAAAAAAGTGGAAAAACAAAATTCGATAAAATTAATCAAGTGAGAATAATGAAACTAGTCTAAGAAGTTATTTCAAAATTAAGAGAAAAGTAAAATGAAACTTACGTTCCCAGTCCACGAGGGAATCACTCTGCCAACTTGGTTGCGAAGGATCTGGCTCTTCATCGTGCAATGCAAATACTGAAGTGTAGTAATTGATTCCTACAAAATCAGCAGAATTTTTCAACTTCTCCTTTTGTGCCTCTGTGAATTCTGGCAGTCGATGTCCGACATGATCCTTCATCGATTGTGGATAGTCTCCATATGTGGTCGGATGCAAATGCCTACGGAGTCAGAATAGTATTTGTCACAGATTCAATATTATCATACTATATATTATATTATTAAATGAAAATTCTTACCATCCCAATATGAAGTCGATCAGGCCGGTTACAGGAGTAGTTTCATGTTCTTCGTCCGAGAGCTCATGCGCCTCAAACCAAGCTGGACTATGAGCAATCCCAATTTTACCACCTTTACACTATAGAAAGAAGAAAAAAAAGCTTTGTAAAAATAGTCAGTTGATTAACTGATCGCAGTAATTTTAGTGATGCTAGTAAATGTTAATATATGGAAACCTTGTCGCATTTCCTAAAGGCATCAACGGCATCGGCATGTGCCAAGAGCATGTTATGACTGACGATATAAGCTTCGTATCCTGATCGTCCATCTTGACACATCTCTCCATGTTCTTTGATGTACTTGGAACAACGTCCCGGTGCTTTTTTCCCAATGTCGTAGCCAGCTCGACTGAACACCCATGGTTCGTTAAATGTGACCCAATGCTTCACTTTGTCTCCGTACTCTTGGAATGTGAAGTTTGCATACTCCGTAAAATCCTTTCTGCGTTTATAGTGTTTGTATTGTAGAAGATTAAAAAAAAAAATCATCATAAATTGTAAAATTTAGCAAAATCTTACATAATGCGGTCGCTTAAGAAACCACCGTATTCATCTTCTAAGTCTTGTGGAGTGTCCCAGTGAAAAACAGTTACTAATGGTGTTATATCTGAATTTAAATTTGGAGTTAACATTAGTAATATCTTTGATGTAATAAGTACAGAGTTTGTGAAGTTTAACTCGTTTATGGGAAAGAGAAATTTGGTTATTACCATTTGCGAGGAGCTCATCGATAAGGTTGTGGTAATACTGCACACCTGCTTTGCTTATTCCTTTCTCCATCCTACCATCTGTTGATTATGTTGGAATTTACTTCCTTAGATTATATAGTTATACAAATCAACTAAACCACTGAAATATAAAATGTTGGAGGTTTTGTTTCTAAAACTTACGGGGAAAAATTCTGGGCCATGCAATGGAAAATCTAAAGCCATCAGTGTTCAGACGTTTCATCAACTTGATATCTTCCTATTCAATATAATTTTTCAAAAATTAGCATATATAGTTTCAAGAGAGCTTCGAAAGCATATATAAACTAGGGTGTTATAACTAATACCTTGTAACGATGGTAGAAGTCGACAGCAACGTCGGCATTGTGATAATTACATTTATCTGAAATATTATATGAAGAAAAGAGAAGAGAAAATATGATATGTGTATATAATTGACAAAATATTTCATTAGACAAATTAAGTGGAAGAGAGAGTGAAAGAGACGTGGGTATTTCTTGGTGTAAATGTCCCACATGCTTGGACCTCTACATCCTTCATCTACAGCTCCTTCGACCTATTCAAGTTACAACATCAATCACTAATTATTTTCACAAGTTTCATTAGCACTAAATCAACAATCACTTTAATTACAACATAGTTTATTAGTTTTTGTGTGTATGTGTGTGTGTATGATTATGAATACAATGGGATATATATATGATACCTGAAAAGCAGCAGTTGCGGTACCAAAAATGAAACCTTTAGGGAAATTGGCACGGGTAAAGTGTATATCGGTACTAGAACAGGCATACTCATTGGCGGCGGTAAGTGAGCCGGTCAGACCGAGGAACAAAACTAAACCTAAGAGAGGAAGTTTATGAAACCTCCCCATAATTATAGTGTAGAGATATTTAGATCTCTTAATTGTAAATAGACAAATACGTTGGAAGGGATTTTTGCTATTATATATAGAGAGAGTGAGAGACACTAATTACGAGACTTGTAAGACTCTGTGGATTTTTTTTATTTGTTCTTGTAAAATATGGGAAGAGGTAAGCCACGTGAGTCACATACGTGACCGGCAACGAATTGGTAATTTAGGAGATGAAAAGTGTGTGTTATGAATAGATTGTTCAATTCCTTTTTTTTTTAATTATTATTATAGTCGAGCAAATTGTTACGTGAACAATGTGTTCATTTGATTGATGATAAATATACAGAAAGTAGTTTAAGTTGTATATTCAGAGACGACAATAACAGAAAAAATGGTATATATATTTGAACAATGCAATACGTGTGAAAGAAGAAAAAAAACAAAGACTACAGATTTATAGGAGGTGTCTTAGGCATGAATATACAATATTAACAGAACATGCAATATTTATCCCCATGGCGTTGTATGTTGTTGATTATACAACTCTCTAGTTTGTTCAGAGGTATATATACTTCCAAAACTAATGTAAACAAATAAAAATCCACCACAAACTAATTTAAGAAAATGTAGGATACAGATTTTAATTAAGATCATTTCATTTTTGTTGCTGAAATTTACATGTTCTTATGAGTAAATAAAAAATAAAAAATTATGCTTTGTTATGATATGTTATATATGTTTTTTGAAACGTTATTTCATACATATAAATTTAGTTTGATTGCATATATTAGATAAATTTAGCTACGATATGCATAATTTTCAGAAAATAAAATGCTCACAGTGAAGAATTACAGTTATATGCGAATGTGTAATATATACGACGTAGCTAGATATATACCAAATATGTTTATTTCTCTCATGAGGCCGGGAGTTTTATTTCACTTTAATTTGCCTCAAGGAGTTAATTAATTTTGTTATGTCATTTGATTTGATTATATTTTCTGCTGACGATCGAGTTGCTCAGTTTGCTATGAGATGCAAAAATCAATATCGAATCCACACAAGCTGAAAATTAAATGGACAATACGTTACATATTGTTGAATTATACATTCTTTACAAGAAGAAAATCAAATAGATAGTCATGTATGATACTGTCTTCCATAATAAGTTAACGATATGGTGATAATAACTAAGATTGAAAAAAATAACTTTGGAAGAAATTAAGAAATTAGGCAAGGCCTTTGGCTATCTGATAAACAAGTGCTTTAGTAATGACTTGGTAGGCTTTCTGGGTTGGGTGAGCGAAGTCATAGAAGATGTGTTTATCAGGGTTGAAGCATGGTATTATCGCATACGGCATACAACAACACGCTTTTCTCTCTTCTGTAAACCCTGCAATATGCACTCATATATTGTTATAAACACAACATGATCTTGATCTTGATGATCACCATGTAGATCCTAGTGTTATGATTTGGATCTAAATAGAAGAGATAAATCAAACGGCACACAAAACATAATCTTTATGGTATACGGTATACCAATCATGGTAAAATATTTATATTAATATGTGGATTATGTATATATATTAGCATACACGTGAGAGGTACTATAGCTAAATTTTTTTTGAGACATAACAATACAATAACCATGAATGGTGGGTTGTGTATATACGTACCATATGCCTTAGGATGGTTGATAAGATCCATAAGTTTACCGTACATGTCGACGTAAACAAACTTTGCACCTCTAAATTCGTATTCTACTGCGTAACTTGTAAGACCTTTCTGCAATTTGGAGTTGAAGTCTTGCGTAACTTTATTCAAGTAGGAGTTACACCATCCGAATGCCCCGAATTCGGCTCGATGAATAGGCAAACATCCCACTGGCATCACTCCCAACACCGCGAATTTTCTGGCCCCAAGATCATATAAATCCTTCACATATAGATTACATAAACCAAAAGAGTGTGAATAGTTACATAGAATTCATATTACTAACTAGCTATATATCAATCCTTGATTAGTTTTTATTTTATTTACTGTCTTACTTGTAGAAACTGTTTGGTCCAACCAACCATTCTGCTGGTGTATAAATTTGGGGACTGTAATCGTAAAACAGCGGGGGCGATAAAGTATCCAAGATCGTTGTTACCTTCTGATATAAGAAACACTGCGTTTGAAATTATCTCTTTTACTTTTTTCTTCCGTTTCACTATTTTCTTTAGTTTCTTCAAATATTCTTTAAAATCTTTTATTTGGTCGGCTGCCGATAAAACTCTCTAACCAAACCATCCAACAAATAAATGAAAATAATTATTAGGAAACATTAGTTGAAATATATATATTGTAGTATTTAATCGGAAAAAAATAACTTAAAACTCTTTTTTTCACCAGTGTTTTAGATGTAAGATCATCGATTCCTGAACCACCTGACGCAAAACAAACTCCTGTTTTGAGGTCATCTGAATCAATGCGACGAATCTTGCTATAAGCTGGTACTAGTCTTTTGATCCCCAAACCTTCGGCTACAATATAAGACTTCTCCACATGAGATTAGTATGTATACCTACTAATGGTTAGACATCGCAAATAAAATGATTACATCAAGGTTTTTATAAAACATTGTTATCAACAGACAACGATATTATTATACCAACTAAATCGGTGAAAACTCTTCCATTTCCGAACCTTCCCGTTGGAATTTTATAGTCAAAATTCCAACCATATGGCCAATAATTTCCCTTGAGCAAAGTAAGAAGAAAATTATTGTTGCCGGTATCTAATACTGAATCACCAAAAGCATAAAGAGCAGAAAATGATGTATTCTTATCATCAGCTGCCAATGAGAATAGATAAGTAGAAAATAATGCTAACACAAATATCTTTTCCTTAAACATTATGAAAAATAATTTCAAACTGTTTTTGGAGAGTTTTTAATGTGTTCTGTGTTTTATAGAGAAAACAATTGATTTTTCTACATATTTTTAGACGTCTTGGCGAAGAAAGGCCAAATGCATGAGAATACAGTACACACCAAATGAATGTTGGGATATTTTAAGACGAGATAATAATTCCATAAAATCTCATGAAAAAATGCCATTTATTTAATTATATGTTTTAGTGCATCTTGTCTTTGTATTTTTTTTTTCAGATTTAGTTAGTTGTTACCATTGAGACATCATTATTATTTCAAAATTTGCAGACCATGTGAAAAGCAAACATCAGGAATTCTTATCCTTTTTTTTTTTTGTCGAAACAGGAATTTTTATCTTACTTTCTGAAATTGTCAAGTTTCTTCTTATTCGGTTTTTTTTTTTTTTTTCAGCATTATGATTTTTAAATGAAGAGATATAGTAGATATATGGTTTGAGCTACAAAATATTTGCACATTTTATCGTCCTGGTATCATAATATATATTGAAACCAGATAGTGAGAAGAGAGTTTGAAGTAGTTTCGTAAGAGCTGTAGATTTCAAAAAGCTTCATTTTCATGGAATATTGTATCTCGAATTGTACATATATACATTAATCTAAGCAAATTATTAATACATAAGTTTATTTGTAACAAGAAAAACAAAAGTACATTATATTGTCACGTACGTCACATGTGATTTTTCTTCTCATAGAAAAACATATGATGATGATTATTAAGATGAATTGCAAGAGACCAGCTGCCAAGGCCTGTCTTGATATCCTCCACAAGCTTTTTAGCAATTGTCTTGTAGGATTTCTCTGAGGGATGGATGAGCAAATTAAGTCATAGAAGACATATTTGTCTGGGTTGGAGCATGGTACTATTGCAAGAAATGAGGAATTAGGCAAGGCCTTTCGCTATTTGATAGACAAGTGGTTTAGATATGACTTCGTAGGCTTTCTGAGAAGGGTGAGAGAAGTCATAGAAGACGTATTTATCAGGGTTGAAGCATGGTATTATCGCATTCGGCATACAACAACACGCTTTTCTCTCTTCTGTAAACCCTGCAAAGTATATATTGTTACAAACACAACATGATCTCGATGATCACCATGTAGATATTTGGACGATTTTAAATATGATGCGAAGGAAAGACCAAAAGAAAACGGCCCACAGAACATGACATATAGCACCTTATCTTAGCTATGAGATGAGAGTTACTATATAGAGCCGTGAGAGTTATAACTATAATGAAATTTATAATTTAGAAAAAAAATGAGGACAAACATTATACTAGTTAGCATGCGCATAACCTTCAAAGATAAAAATAAATAAATAAAACAAATGATAAGACCTTTCAATAGTTTAGACAATAACCATGATGAATGGTGGGTTGTGTATATACGTACCATAGGCCTTAGGATGGTTGACAAGATCCATCAGAGAACCGTATATGTCGACGTAAACAAACTTTGCACCTCTAAATTCATATTCTACTGCGTAACTTATAAGACCTTTCTGCAATTTGGTATTGAAGTCTTGCGTAACTTTATTCAAAAAGAAGTTACACCATCCGAATACCCCACCGAATAGAGCTCGATGCAGAGGCATACATCCCACTGGCATTACTCCCATCACCGCGAATTTTCTCGCCCCAAGATCATATAAATCCTTCACATAAACCAAAAGAGTGTGCACAGTTACATAGAGTTCATACTATTATATACATATATTAATCCATAATTAATTAATTTTTATTTTATTTACTGTCTTACTTTTAGAAACTCTCTGGTCCAACCAACCATTTTACTGGTGTATAAATTCGGGGACTGTAATCGTAATAGAGCTTGAGCGACAAAAAATCCAAGATCGTTGTTTCCTTCTGATATAAGAAACACTGCGTTTGAAACTATTTCATTTACCTTTTTCTTATGTTTCACTTTTTTCTTTAGTTTTTTCAAATAGTTTTTAAAATCTTTTACTTGGTCGCCTGTCGATAATACTCTCTGACCAAACCATCAAAAAATCAGCGAAATTAATTATTAGGAAACATTGGTTGAGATATATTATAGTGTATATCAAAAATAACAATTAAATTCATGTTTTCACCAGCGTTCGGGAGGTAAGATCGTCGATTCCTGAACCACCTGATGCAAAACAAACACCGGTTTTGAGGTCTTGGGAATCAATGCGACGAATCTTGCTATAAGCTGGTACTAGTCTTTTGATCCCTAAACCTTCAGCTACAATAGAAGATATCACCACATGAGATTTGGAATCCCTACTACATGGTTATACAAATAATATGATTACATCAAAAACAAATTTAAAAAACATTGTTAAACACTACGATATTATACCAACAATATCGGTGAACACTCTTCCATTTCCGAACCTTCCCGTTGGAATTTTATAGTCAAAATTCAAACCATATGGCCAGTAATTTCCCTTAAGCAAAGTAAAAAGAAAATTATTGTTGCCGGTATCTAATACTGAATCACCAAAAGCGAAAAGTGCAGAAAATGATGTGTTCTTATCAGCCGCCGATGAGAGAATATAAATAGAAAATAATGTTAACACCGATATTTTTTCCTTAAACATTATAGAAAATAAGCTCAAACGTTTTTGGGACTGTTTTTAATGTATCATATATTTTATACAGAAATCAATTGATTTCCATCTATTTTTAGACGTCTACATATTTTTTGTCGAAGAAAGGCCATATGCATGAGAGTACACTTCACATTACACACCAAATGAATGTTAGGATCTTAAGGCGATAATAATTCCATAAATCGCATGAAAATATATCATCTATTTAGTTATGTTGTAGTGCATCTGTTGTCTATATATTACATATATATATATATATACCATCTTATATATCAGAGATGCATGCATATTTAGTAAGTTACATATTAGTAAAGAGTAAATATCAGGGATTATCTTACTTTAGTCCGAAACTGTCAAGTTTTTGTTTTCTTATTCGGTCTTTCTTGTTCTTTGGATTTTTTTTTTTTTTTTAACCCAAATCGGTATAAACGGTTTAATTTGTATGGATCGGTGTTCAAACATTACGCATTAATTTGTATGGATCGGATACAGTGATTGTGACTTGTGAATAGTGTGAAGTTGATATTTAGTTTTGATGACATTTAAATCCGTGCAATTTTAGGTTTAATAATCAAAATTATGACTTATATTTCACTTTTTTCTGGATTTTCATTCACTAACGTCCGAAAGTGTGAATTTTGTCATCTACAAAAATTTTGTGACTTAGATGCGTTCTTTTCTTACAATTGGAATTATATCTTTAGCCTATTTCAGATTTAAATTTTTGAATATATGTCGTAAAAAATATAATTCTTCAATATACATTTGTACGCAAAGGCCTTTGTTGTTTCTGGGATTTATATAAAATAAACAATACATAACTGGGATTATACGACATTTGTTTATATATGTAAAAACTGAAAGATCGCCATATACAATATGTATGTGTTTTGTCTTCTCATATTATATTGTTAACGATGGCAGGTTTATTAAGATTAAAGTAAAGCATTGCAAGGAATCAAGCAAGGCCACTCTTGATATCGGCGACAAGCTTTTTAGAAATCGTTTTGTAGGCTTTCTCGGAGGGATGAACAAAGTCATAGAAGACGTATTTATCTGGGTTGGGGCATGGTATTATCGCCGTGATCATACAGCAACACCCATTCTTCTCGTTGGAAAATCCTGCAACCATGCATGTATGGATACTTCATTACTATATGAACTTTGCTAATGTAGTTGTTAATTATATCTCTCTAATTCAAACAATAGCGAAAGAAAAATAAAACAAGGGAAATGTATACTTACCGTATCTTCTATAATTTTTGATAACATCCATAAGAGTGTTGAACATGTCGACATAGACAAATTTTGCGCCGCGAAAACCTGATTCGTTTCCCCAAGATTTAACCCCCTTCCTCAGTTTTCCATTGTAATCTTCGGCAACTTTATTCGCGAAGAAGTTACAAAACACGACGAACCCACCAAGGAAGATTCTTGACATAGGCAAGCATCCCAACGGTATCACTCCCATCACCGCGAATTTCCTAGCTCCTTGATCATATAAATCCTTCAATACATACACATAAACCAAATACTTTCGTATTAGTACAACTATATATATATAGATTGATGGTTGGTAAGAAAATTTCATTATTTTTCGTACTTTCATAAACTGTTTATTCCAACCAGCTAACTTAGTGGTGTATCTACCGGCAGTCATTCCTCGGAAAATAGCAGTTGGAGTCCCAAAATATGAGATTCCAATATCATTATTTCCTTGAGAAACAAGAATCACTGCGTTTGCAACTATGTCCTTTGCTTTTGAAGGACCTGCGATGGCCTTTAGCTTCCTTATGTACCCTTTGAAATCGTTTACTTGATCCTTTGGCTTTAAAACTCTCTGACCAAGCCACCATCCAAATATACATTACAATCTTTATCAGCAAAACAAAATAATCATCTATATTGATATGTAATAAGTTCATTAATTATTATTTTTTCACCAGCATTCTGGATGTAACAGGGTCGACTCCTGCACCACCTGATGCGAAACAAACACCGGTTTTAAGTTCGCTTGGAGGAGTGAACAACTTACGATAAGCTGGCAATACTTTTTTGATCCCCAAACCTTCGGCTGTAATAATAATCACTATATCATTTAATGATATTATTCATATCATATGATAGCAATATATGTATAATTAGATTGTGATATTATACCAACAATATCGGAGAAAACTCTTCCATTTCCAAATCTTCCTGTGGGAATTTTCATGGTGTAACTCCTTCCATATGGCCAGATGTTTCCTTTCATCAGAGTCAGTAGGAAATTGTTGTTACCGGTATCGAGAATTGAATCTCCAAAAGCCAAAAGCGCAGGAAACGATCCGTTCCTAGCATCTGTTGATAGGAAATAAATGGAAAATAATGCTAACGCTAATGCTTTTTTTCTACACATAGCTAACCTTAAGACCATATTTGTTTCCTACGACAGTATCTATTATGTTTTATGTATAGAGAATTCACAGTCTATGCTCATGTCAGTTTAGTACATATACAAGTGATTTTCTAAGTATTTTTAGACGTCTAGTCTTTGTTGTCTGAGGAAGCCAAAAATGCATGAAAGTGGTGAGTACACACACTGGATGAATGTCAGCATCTTTTAGGAAGATAATAATTTCACATAGCGCTGATGGAAAAAAAAATACCCAAAAAACAAGAAAAACAACTATTTGAAAATATATTTACTCTTTAATTTTAAGAATGTGCGAGTTGTCACTTTACACCCCATAAATAAAAAATAAAGACTTTAATCAAAAGTTCAAAACGAATGATATGTACAGTCTGATGTTTTCGTCATGTAGACTCTGATTCCTCCCTATGTATTGGAAGAGGATCTAACTTAGCTAGAAAGTCTAGAATAATAGGAATGTAAAGTAAAAATTAAGTTTCTGATTGATTCTCTCCAAAAAATGAAACAACATTACATATTAATATGTAGATTGAATACAACTTTCAAATAATACAAATTACAAGATGTGATGAAATACAGTTAACCATTGTGCCATGGAAATAGTTTTAAATTTCAGACAAACTGATTAACAAATTTGTTAATCAACAATGAGACTAACACTTTGTACGTTTTCTCCGTAGGATGATAACTGTCCCAAAAGACATGACTAGACACGTCGGGACATACGGAAGATGTGATTTTATTGCACAACACGGCAACTTCTATGGCTCCTGTTCCACAGCATCCTTTATTAGCCACTTCAAACCCTACAAAATATAACCCACATCACAACTTTCATACATATATAGTACCTTTTCGTATTAATTACCCTTCATGCATGAACAAGTTTAAACGAATAGAATCTTTGAGTATTAATTACCGTAATTAGCTGGATTCTGGATGATGTCAAAAAGAGGATCGTAGATATTAATGTAGACGGGTCTGATACCCGGTAGAGTTTTATGCAACATATCCAATTTTGGGGAGAGCTTTGAATTGAAAAGCTTTGCTGCTACGTTGTAACTCTCAGCACAATCTCTCATGATACCTCCTCCTAAGGTTCTCTGTGATGGTACACACCCAATCGGTGGTGCACCAAACACAGCCAGTCTTCTCACTCCATATCCATATAGTTTCTGTCAATTTCATTTCATACACTAATCATTACATTTCTGAAATTTCTTTATTATTCTAAGTCATATTTTATATAAATAAAATTTTATAGTAAAATTATTAATTTGGTAGATAGCCATTTATATCGAAATGTTTACAGTATAATGTAGAAAGACTATAATATTAGGCTTTATTTTATTTTTTTAATGAGAGAAGCTTACAGTCACAAAATCTGTGGCAGAGTCAGACATAAGAGTAGTGTAGGCATCGACGTCGTATTGAGGTCTTGCACGAAGAGTATAGTATGTATTGGCTATGTCGTCGCTGCCTGCGACCACTAAGAATAAGCTGTTGGCTATTATGAAGTCTTTTTTTTCTTCCCCAACTATATTCTTCACTTTCTCTATGTACTCCTCGAAATAATTTAGCTGATCTTCTAATGATAGTACTGACTAATACCAACAACAAATAGAAATGAAAACCAACTAGTTAAGAAAAATATCAAATCAAATGTTTCCATAGGATTTGCAATCAAATATACCATGGTCCCTGATGGTTAGGTTACATAGTCTTACCACGAGTTTTGGTGTTATCGGATCATAACCAGAACCCCCTGACGCAAATGACACACCGGTTAAAAGATCTTTGGATTTTAACGTCGGATCGAAATATGCTGGCACAGTTGATTTTATTCCCAGTTCTTCGGCTGCATATAAAAGAACAGAGCATCAAAATAAATAACGTTAGTTTAAAAATATTATTTTGACTTTTAAAAAAACTTTTCTTAATAATAATGTCTATAAAAAGACTCCTAATAAATTTTGGTACACGTAATTATTGATACAATGTTATTTAGCATTACTTTTAACTACTGCTACTAGTTCTAAAAGAGAAAAGAAAACAAATGATTGCTAGAAATTAATTTGCCGTAGCCATTACTTGTGACCTAGTAATTAATGGTCGTTACTCGTTATATATGGATGCGTAAAAATCTATGTTTACATTGACAATTTCGCCTTACTGCGTAACGCTAAAAAAATAAGAGTAAAGAGAAGGAACCTAGCAAATCGGCAGGGACTCGTCCGTCGCAGAACCTCCCCGTGGCAGCTCCACCTTGGAAATTTATACCGTAAGGACGAAAATCGCATTTCACTACGGTTTTGACAAAGTTGTTCATCCCGGTGTCGACGATGGAGTCTCCGAAAGCGATAAGGGCCGGAACAATCAATTTTGGCGGCAGCTTCACGGCGGCAATCGTCTCCGTTAGGAAGAGAACAGACAACAAACATAGTTTCCACGAAGACCAAGAACAAGACCAGCTTGTATTGTCTTTCATGTCGCTTTAGTGTAACGTAGAAATATAATAAGATATGTTTTTTTATATATATATAACAACAATTTTGCTTCCAAACTAAGAGATGATTCTTATATCAACTTTTCTTCTATGCTATCGCACTTATTTATATATGTAGATAGACACACATGTCGATATATATATATATATATATATATATATATCTGTAATGTATAAGTCTTGGAGATGTTGTGGACCGGTAGACTTAATTAGACAAGACAAAATTAATTGCTTGAAATATTTTGACATATATAGATTAGGTGTTTTCTTCTAGTGATTTTTAAGGGGAGTAATAAAATGCACTTTTTGATAATAATCCTCGAGAAAACTGAGATAGTGTGCTCTCTTTTTTTATATAAATGAGATCATGTACTAACCTCAACCATACCAGTCTTTTCTCACATATCTACATAGCTGCCTTTACCAACATATATCTATTAGCTCGAAACACGTATTAACAGCGGAATGTAACAGGCAGAGTATGACAGACTAATAGATTACTATATGCGTACGCATGTGTGTCAACGCTAACTAAACATATATGTTAAAATATCAAAGATAATTCAAATCTTTAGCTCATAAAATTCTAAAAACACTTCAACTACGTGTAAACAGCTTACAGCTACATATCGTCTATGCATATTATCATGCGGTTGTTCTACTTTATTTCTTCTTTATCGAACCATTCTGACTCGAGTGCTTAAAAATATTATGAGGACATCAATGGCGTTACAAGCAGTTTTGATTATTTAATTTGTTTCATAAAACATGTCAATCTACCATGCTATCATCGTTCAACCGATCAGCCATCTCTGCATGGATATGTATAAGTTCAGAATTTCATCAAAATAATACTTTTAAATCAATGGTATTACTTATATATTCTTGATTTTTTTTCGAATTCTTTACGTTATCCTCATGATAATCATGCTACCTTTGAAATTATGTTATGTCGAAATTACTTTTAAAAAAATAAATATTTAGTCATATGACAACTATGCTACATTGAAAACTTATAATAGTAGTACTAATTAAATTTAAGAATCTCATGATAATATTTGAGCATGTGATGTAAACTGTTACCAAACTACAACTTTTGTAGGTCATCATAATTAATACGATTAAGACTTCTAGAGCCCATCAAACTCAGCAACAAGAATATATATTGTTGATATTACTTTGAGTCATTTTCATAACATATCATCATTGTTTGGGTAAAACATAACTATAGTTTAGAATCCTTTAAACTAGACATAAAAAAAGAGTCATAAAGTACGAATTAGAAAAAGAAAGGAAAACAAAAAAAAGAGAACGAATACGTACGTTACGTAGGGACCGAAGGGTAGATGTAGATCACAAGCAATAGGTGATACTACTATTTCCACTTAATTAACTGAGTGTGAAAAAGGTAAGTTTCTATATATACTAGTTAGTTGTCCGCGCTACGCGCGGAAGTTTTATTACGTAGTTTATGAGTAATTGATTCATATTTTATTTCGTACTTATTTTATCTACTACATCATATTTTTATTTTCTATTTCATGTTGTGTTTGTATAGAAAATCTATTTTATTTTAGTTTCGATAATAGTTGAGAAATTAAGCGTGTATAGTATAAATCGATGTGTATGCGTAAACGGAAGTGTTATCGAGAGTTGCAGAAAAAATGTGTTATTAAGGCTCCCACCAAATATAGATCTAGATGATGTTAATATTGTGGGTCCTTTTAATATGTTGGTCCAAAAGTTGAGAATAATTTGTGAATTCGCGCGAATTGTTGTATTTTTTATTGATTTGGCGATTTGTTGTTTATTATCTATTTATTTTTGTTTGTTATGTTTTTGTTTGTTATTTTTATTTGTTATATTTGTTTGTTATATTTGTTATTTGTTTTTGTTATGTAACATACATATTAGTATAAACTACTTTATACTAATTTAACATATTTATTTTATTATAATTATTATTTGAAAGGACTTTTTATATTTGTTTTTGAAAAAAACTTGTTTTCATGTGTATAAATCTTTAAATTAAATGACAAAATGGTATAAATAAATTATTAAAATTAAATAGTAAAATGATGTGGATGATGTTTGAAATGACTTTTCATATTCCTTTTTGAAAACTTGTTTACATTTGTATAAATATTAAATGAAAGAATAAAATGATATAAATAAATTATTAAAATTAAATAGTAAAATGATGTGGATGATGATTAGGATGGTGAGGTGGCTTAAGAAGAAGAGAGTAAAGTTAACTTTATGTATATAGATAATATATAAAAAACCTTTCATATTCCTTTTTAAAAAACTAATTTACATAGGTTTAAATCTTAAAATTAAATGATAAAATGGTATAATTAATTTTAAAAATTAAATAATAAAATGAGGTGGATGATGATGTGGCATAAGGAGAAAAGAGAAAAAATTAACTTTATATATATAGATACACGTGAAAAATTGTACAAAAGAGACTATACGAAGAAAAATGTTGTGGCTATCAGAATATCTAACATATGTAAAATACTAAAATATTTGAAATTTCTAGAGACGCTTGCTGTTAATGCTGTCTACATAAGGATGGTCCAAAACGAATAATTATAGAATATGTCTAAAAAGTAAGCCAGAGCGCAAGTATCCGAAATTTCATGCTAATTTATTACGACTAAGATATCCGAATAAATCATGCTAACTAAGTAGACTAATTAGACATATATATCGACAAGGCTACTAAAATGTGGAATTTAATTTAATGATTCACACAACCATATTATCGCCCAACTACTATCTAACATAATTATGTGCAAACAAAAGATTTATAAATATCTTGAAATGATTTTTAGGTTTTCCCGTTTTATATTCCTCTACATATATAAAAATGAATAATACTGAATTAATTTGTTGATAATGACAAACTTACAGGCTGCCAAGAAAAAACAATATTTTAATTTTACAGTAAATTACAAGAATAATATTTTATATAATCCGTATGAAAGATTACAAAACAAACAGTTTTGATATAGCTACAATATTATGGAATCATCTTTATGATATTCTATAGTCTATAGTATTCATATACTTGATATGGTAGAAGATAGACCCTGTACCATCGTAGTTGTATTCATATATAGTAATAACTCGCGCGACAGCGACAAATTAAAGTAATGACCAACTAACTCGTTCCATGTATAATGAAGACGGAAAGAAAAGAAAAAAAAAAGTATTACTGAAGACATTTGTGTTTTGAATTCGATTTGATAACCATACATTATTGTTTCGAAATTAAATTTGATCATTAAATACTGGGTCCAATATGCTAAAAGATATTAAACTACTCACAGAATCAATAGGTCAAATTTTTTTTTTTTTTTTTAAATTCTACCAAACGTGGTAGATAACTATACTTACTTACTTTTTACAGCCAATTGTTTCATATTATAAAATCAAACTGTTAAAAGTAATTATAGGCCGAGCCAGCCAGTTGTGGCAAATGATGCATGGCCTAGTAAGAGTATCTTGAGTTTTAATTTGTGGTCTGGAATTACATATTTTAAGATTTCTGTAGCTATTTGTTGGATTTTATTTTTATTTTTTTCAAGTTTAATATCTTGATTTCGAAGGCTATATATCCCTATTTTTATTGGTCTGAGTTTACAGTTTTCTTTTATATAACATTTGTATTCAAAATCTCAAATCCGCTCTGTCGATTTTTGCTTCCTTCACTTGTTGAATAGCTCTTCAATCATTGGACTTTTCCTTCTTGTTTCTCAATGAGTGGGCTATCATTTATAGGCCTCTCTTTCAACCTCTTGGGTTCAGATTAGTTTTTCTTTGTTGGGCTGTTGTTCCCTTTTTGTAGCATATATGGTGGGAAACTTTTTCATTTGCAATAAGCACATATGACATCATCTTAAAATATGTATATTTTGTATAATATGCATTTTCATATTTGTTTTTTTTTTTTTGGTCAAACACTTGATTTCATTCCTTCAAATCAAATACAAGTACAAAGAGGGGCTTCAAAGAAACCAATGTTTAAAACATTACAAAGAGAGTCATTCCCCAATGCCACAAACAGATAGATAGAGTGTATCGATTTAAATTCCATGAGAGCTTTGAGACAAAGACTTGGGAGCGATTTGGCACATGTGAGATCACGGTTAATCGAACGATCATCCTCGAAAACTTCGACGGACGACAAGGTGGTCACGGTCAAAAGACGACGTGACGTTGACAAAAGAACCAACACCATGCTTCTCGCAAGAGCAAGAAATACTACCTAAGGTAGTGCATCAACAATGGTTCGAGAGACTACGGTTTTATAGTCGAGGGAAGCTTGCTTTAAATCCCAAAGCGAAAGGATTGTCGTTTAAATAATATTTGTTTAATAATGCATTTTCATGCACGTTTTACCCGGAAACACTACGTAGCTAGCTACGGTTTGTCGTTACATTTTTGTGCCGATTTGGCGCCCATATAACTATTTAGAAACTAAGCCGTTACCAACTTACTTAAGGACCGTCATGAAACTGGCAATGAAAATGGTGTTGGAAAATTATCTCGAGATCACGTCGAATAAGTGGAAAACATAAAGACATGTTAAATCAGTAAAACATATAGTGACGAGATCATATATATCTCTCAAAATATTTTGTTGCCATAATTTTGTAAGTCTTCTCAGTCGGATGGAAACTGTCCCAAAACACATATTCATCTCTATTTGGACATACGTCAGCTGCAAGATTGCATAAAACAGCAACTTCAATTAGTCCAGTTCCACAACATCCTCTATCGACCACCTTAAATCCTGTTACATTAATTTTACAAAAGAACATACAATTTCATTAACGTCGTGACAAAATAGAAATGTTTGAGATTGTACTTTAGAGCAATACGAACGAATAACCAGTAAAACCGATTACCATATTGTTGAGGATCTAGTATGATATCAAGAAGAGAACCATATATATCAACGTAGGTTATTGTCTTCTCCCCCAAAGTTGTTGACAAAGAATCCAAATTTGCTGCAAGCTTAGTGTTGTAGAGCTTTGTTGCATCGTTGAACCTAACGACACAATTTCTCGTTGGTCCCCCTGCTAAGGTTCTCTGTGATGGGACACATCCTAGTGGTGGTACACCAAATACTTGTATTCTTCTCGCTCCATATTCATGTAATTTCTGTGAACACATTATAGAAGACAAAAGTTCAAAGGGAAACCAAATAGTTAAAAAGTAATTTTTTTTCGCTCCATGAATTTTTGTACCACCATATCATCGATAGCTTTACTAAATACTAGCTAAATAAATAGAAGTAGTTACATTGATAAAATAATTTTCGTACGTACGTACTTGAGCAAAAGATCTAGCGTTGTCGGCCATAAGAGTAGTAAAGGAAGAGACGTCATATTTATGTTGAACAGAAGGAAGACCAAAGTAGGTGTTGGTTATATCATTACTGCCGCATATAACCATGACCAAACTGTTTTTAATTATGAAATTTGTCCTTTCTTCCCCAACCATTTTCTTTAACTTGTCTATGTACTCTTCAAATAATTCCAGTTGCTGCGGTAAAGCTATTCCTCCCTTAAAAAAAAAAAAAAAAAACAAGATTACTATAGCATTAGAAGAACCAATCACATTTGTTTTATAGAGATATCTATAGACTATATAGTGTAAGAATTAACTATATGTTCGATTACCGATAATTGGGTGGTCAAAGGAACGTAACCAGCACCACCAGACGCAAATGTTACACCAGTTAAGAGATCTTCTGGTTTTAAATTTGGATTTCGATATGCCGGTACAGTTGGTTTAATTCCGAAATTTTCCGCTATGACAGGAGAGAGAAACCACCAGTTATTATAGCTCTACTATTTTATCAAAAAAGTTTCTTCCTTAATCTCTTTGATATTTCGCTTTTCAGTTTTCATATAATTCAAGAAAATGACACATACGTATATAGTGTACTTGAAAACAAAAATGAGAAGAACAAAAGAGATCACATGTTAACAAAGAAAAATATACTCAACATGTTAACAAAGAAAAATATACTCAACCACCGAATTAAATGTCCTAGACTCCTATCATCATCCATTCACAAATCACATCGTCATTAATAAAATAGTGAAAATACTAGTCACTCAGTACTGGTATATAATTCTGATTCATGAGTAGAGTACGATGTACGAGACAATAATTAGGAACTGGAGAAAAAGGAAAAAAGAAAGTGAAAAGCTATTAAAAGTTTTAGGTTATAATAAAAAAAAAGGTTTATATTCATGAGAAAAATTTTGGAAATAAATTTTACATAAGTTGCGTAAGTCAAAAGAAAGCAACATGGAACTTACCAATAAAATCAGTCGCAACCTTGCCGTTAGAAAATCTTCCGGTGGGAATGGACCCGTAAAAATCGATGCCGTAAGGAGGATAATTGCATCTAGCCAACGTTGTCTTAATATCGTCATTGTTTCCGGCGTCAACAATAGAATCCCCGAACACTATGATAGCCGGGATTATCGTTTCGTTTGGCGACAGCTTCACCAAAGCATTCGTGGTGGTCGTCTTACATAACAACACGAGAAAGAAGAGAACAAACCAAAAAAGACTCGTAGGAGAAAAGGTAACATGATGAACAATCATACTGTGTCGTTTCATTGTTGCTCTTTTGTTTGTTTGCAACAGAGATCTTGTTTTTATTTGGAAGCTTTTGGAGTGTGATGAGTAAAATATATTATTTTTGCTAAAAGTCTGGATCGGCATGTATATGTCTTAAACAAACGAGGACTTTTGGGTTCAAAATGGCTATTAGCTAGTCTACTCTAGAACATTTAAAGAGATCAGAATACTTCGAGATACGTTACGTAACCCTTACTAAAACTATCTTCGACATACTGAAATTACTAGATTTTTCAGTTTTACCAAAACAGTATATATTATTAGATAGGCATAGCTAAATGGGCTTAGGCCTGGGACAAATACATTACTCCGTGAGGAACCCATTATTTCAAGGGGTGAAAAGAGTTTTTAACGAATTCTCATTGGGTTTCAAACCAATTTGGGGTTTTCTGATTGGGCCAAGTTCATTCGTGAATTTCCTTTTTCTTTTGGTTGTTTTCCCCCATTTTTGTTTACAATCAAAAGATTAGAAGTATTTAGAACAACAAATTAAAGTCTGTAGCATGGTTTCATATTTCCCTAGTTGTATTGTTGAATCAACTGAAATATGTGAAATGAATCTAGTTCTTCTCTTGATTGATTATAAACATATAATTGAACGGATCGTGACCTCGTCGTATTAATGGTATATTACTATATTATGTATGAGAGAGATCTTGACCTCATATCAGAAACGAGTTATAGCTTAAATGACAAAAAAAAAAAACATTAGCTGCTATTGGGCCTGCTTTGATCAGATTTAACTGGGCCTTATACATAATTTGTTTTTCTCAACCTTGGGCCTTTTATTTGTTTTGACCTTTGGTTTTTCTGTTTTTTATTTGCAATAAGTTTGAGTTCCATGAGGATTCTGTGGCAAGTGGATTCGAGGACAATCTTTCTTGTTAATACTAGTATCGTAGAAAATGAAAAAAAAAAAAAAAAAAAAAAAAAAACAAAATTACGGAATTTACTAAAATCATAAAGAAATACATACATGAATCTTGTATATGTAATCCATCATCAAATATATCATATGAGACAATTACAAGCCATTTGAGGAAGAGAAAGCTGACAAGAGTGTAATTTTCTCTTCGAGTTGGAATGATTTATTCAAATAGTGTATCGATCGACCATGCTAAGAAGATAGGAAGCTATCTATATGTCGACTAGAAGAATCTGTCGAGATATTTATCAAAAAGTTTTGCAACTATAATTCTGTAAGCTTTTTCGGTGGGATGAAAACTATCCCAAAACACATAATCAGATCTTCTGGGACACACAGCAGCTGTATAGTTGTTGCATAGCGCGGTAACTTCTATTAGGCCGGTTCCACAACATCCTTTATTGGCCACCTTAAATCCTATAAAGATTCATAGAAAATAACATTTTTTAAAAAATGTTGAACTATATATTGGTTAAATAACTAGAAAATAAACAATGATTGATTGATTACCATATTGTTGAGGGTATAAAATGAGATCAAGAAGAGGATTATAGATGTCAATATAGATTATTGTCGGCGCTTGAAGAGTTCTTGACAAGACATCAATATTTGCGGAGAGCTTAGTATTGAATAGTTTTGCTCCGTCGTTAAACCTAGCAACACAATCTCTTGTAGGTCCTCCTGCTACAGTCCTCTGCGAAGGTACACATCCTATTGGTGGTGCACCAAATACAAGTATTCTTCTAGCTCCATATCCATAGAGTGTCTACCACCACATAAAAAAAGAAGAAGATATAATTAAACAACTTTTCATAATAATAATAGAAAAGCAACGGTTAATAAAGACATATTGTAACAATTAACATTACGAACCTTATTCGACCGTGACATAAACTATTGTAGTATTATTATTTACCTGAGCAAAAGAGCGAGCATTGTCGGCCATAAGAGCGGTGAAAGAAGCAATAGTGTAATGGAGCTGAACCGGAGGGAGAGCAAAGAAGTCGTTGGCGATATCGTTACTACCACTTATTACAACGAACAAGCTATTCTTGATTATGAATTTTGTCCTCTCTTCTCCAACCATTCCCTTCAGTTTTGCTATATATTCTTCAAAATATTTCAACTGTTGCGGTAACGATATTCCTCCCTTTAACAATAAAAGAAAAAAAAATTAAATTAATTGTTATTCTTTTTAATAATTAACTTTGTAAAATAAATTTAAATTCATTACAACTTCAAAATTAACTACCGCTATTTTGGTTGTCAAAGGAACATAACCAGCACCACCGGAAGCAAATGTTACACCGGTCAAAAGATCTTCCGGTTTTAGGTTCGGATCTCGATATGCCGGTATACTCGGTTTAATCCCAAACTCTTCCGCTGTAAAAGCAAAAGATTATGAAAAAGTTGTTAGACCACCACTTTTTTTTTTTTTTCATGTATAATGGATTTATCATTATTATATATATATGAATTTGCAAGGAGGCTGGTGTTTTGACTTTATATATATTAAACACATCAATGTATATATAGAGTAATATGTAATTGGTATATAGATATCCAATTAAAAGAATGCAAGGTTTGTATAGGTAAGACTTGAAAGTATTACTTTAACGAAGAAATAAATAATACAAGCAAACTAACCTACAATATCACCGGGGACTTTGCCATTGGAGAATCTTCCCGTAGCAACCCCACCATCAAAATCAATGCCGTAGGGAGGATAATCGCATCTAGCTTCTGTTATCATGTCGTCGTTATTTCCGGCATCGACAATTGAATCCCCGAACACTATTACCGCCGGAACAACCGTGTTTTCAGGGAGTTTCACTAAAGCATTTGTAGTTGTCGTAAATAACAGCACGAGAAAGCAAGTACACCAAAACAGCATCGACGAAGAAGAGAGACAAAAGTAAGAAATGATGAGATTATGAAGTGAACGAAGACGTTCCATAGTTGCTATGACGTATTGATGTGTAGTGTGTTTGTGCGTAAAAAAACAAAAAGAGAAAAGTCTTGCTTCTTTAGAAAGTTTGGAACGATGGATATAAATAGAACCTCATCTCGTTTCCAAAGTAGATATTTATATATCCATGTCTATGTGATTTGTTTGGTTTTGTTGTTGTCATTGATTGCAGACTTTGACATATTGTGTTTTGTCTACATGTTATTCTAATATCTAAGTACACGTGTTATATGGTTAGAAATCGGACGAACAGTTTCTAATAATTTAACAACGTACTTTTCCAAAACAAATGCCAAAAATCCCTATGAACGTTGTTTCAAACTCACAGTCTGTTTGACTCAAATATGAATAAATAATAAAACAGTCTCATAGGGTTTTCAATATCCAACACAAATTATGCATATAGCCTTTTCTTGAAGAAATACATAGCCTTAGTTGGACGTATATTACTGTCCACCCAATAAGTCGTAGATGTACAAAACCATATGACTAAAAATATACTTCTTTTTCTTAAACATATACAAATCCTGATTAAGATTTCTCATACTAAATTGTTTCGTAGTTTTAGAGTCTAGTCATGAAGATAATTTAACAAAATTAATGTTGTAGTTTTCTTTCCTAATAAAATTATGTTTTACTTAGTCTCTTTCTACAATATATAATTAGAATACGGTAGTTACTACTAGGCTTATAATGTATCAACAGTTCCTAAATCATTGTCGACGTCACCACGTGCTTATGCTCTTTTCAAACTCTATCAATGTCTTATCGCTATCGAAATCAGTGTGTTAACATCGGTGTTTAATGAGTTAGGACCCATATGTCCACAATCCGTTCACCGGTGGAGCAGTAAATGCAAATTGCGATCAAATAAAACACGTAACAAGTTTCCATAATATATACTCTCTTTGATCAAAACGGCTAGAGATATAAATATAATAGCCTAAAACATTTAATTAAAGTACCCATGAGCCCATGATAGCAATATTTACCGGTTTAAGTACTTTTTTGTTTTTCCATGAACAAATTGGTAGTCATATAGTCAAAAGCTAGGACGTTGCTTCATCTTCTTTTGTCTTTAGCATGACTCGTGAACCATTCATTATTTCTCATCCATATTATTTATGAAAGTAAAGTTACATCGATACAAAAGGCAAAAAATTGTTAAGGCCTCTATAGATAATGTTGCTCTAAAAGCAAAGTCAGATCGCGGCAAGTTGGTTAATGGTTACAGTTAATCCATGAAAATTTAAAACAAAAAAAAACGTTTTAAATCCTAATTGATATGTTTTTCTCCTTTTCTACAAATAATAATTTCATTCGTATGACAAGAAAATAAAAATTTGCATGATTGCATACATTCGATATTTTCGCTCGTCAATAAAACATGAAAATCAGATATTGGGAGAAAGAAATTAAATAATATAATCATATATGCATATGCTTATATGATAGCTCTACAGTGTCAGTTTATCACATCGAAGACGATACTACAATTAACAACAGTTGTGCATTTATTCATGTCTCTTTCTATTTAAATTAGACATATACCGAATTTTGTTTGTTCTTAAATTAAGAGATCTGTTACGCGTACGCATCTCCTTAACCTAATTTTTATGTAGTGCGCACAAGGACTTTACTTCGCAGCGAACCAATATGGTGAATATAATTGAATTATTACATATTGCACACACAAAAAAAAATCGAAGGAAAACTATTTTACCAGTTTATAAATGTATAAACTAGTGTTTAATCAATGTCATGTGTCACGGCCTCATCACAATGTTCGAGGCTAACAGTTATTAACGTCTACACAGTAAACGAAAGTTTAATAACGTCCCAATCAATCTGATTTGATAGTTATAAAAGAGACATGTTGTAAGCTCCGACATCGTACTGCATCAGTTTCAGAGTTAGGTTTCAATCATTTGTTTACATAATTTTGAAACAATTGTAACCTTGTAATTATGAAAAAAACAATATGTAAACACTACCAATAAATAAATATTTTTTGACCTTTGTCATTTTTTATATACTGATCAATATATTCTTTTTGAAAAAGTACGTTTATTTCGAATTGAGAAGATTCAAGAAATGTTTTGTTTATAAAGAAATTATGTTTTGAATACATAGTTTAAGATGTAATTTATATCGTATTTTATCTCTTTCATAATTTCAAATTATTCCTTTCTTCACAAATGCAATATCAATAATTTCACATTAGTTGTATGATTTTAAGTTTAATATGATTTGTATACAATATTTATCGGCTATATATATATATAATTCAAAGTATTGCGTTTTACAAAATACTATGTAATAGAAATTAGACATGTTTTATATTTAGAATGATTACAATCATGTTCAAGGTTCCCTCCCCATACAACGTCGAATATATATAACAACTATAGGAAGTGGGAACATTTGACCACACGTCCATGTCCATACAAAACAAAAACATTCGTGCCTTAAAAACCCCGCGCCAATTTCAAAGACGGCGACGTTTGCATAAACGAATACTTGCTGTGTTTAATTCATCATCTCCATTCTCACCAGTGGACGACTCCGCCTCTTCCGCCTCGTTCTGCTCCGGAATAACTTTCTTCGACTTTTCTCTCTTTCTCACTTGCAATAGCTTCCCGGCAAGATCTCGGCACAGTTCTGTTTTCTCATCCGACGTCTTCTTCCAGAACTCGGCTTCCGACAATGCTTTTCTCAGGCGAAGTTCCATTTCTGCAGACTGTTTTTTCATATCTTCGATGGTTTTGTCCTTTACTTTCATGAAATAGACAGCTCTTTCCTCCACATTACGTAACTGAGTACACAAATCTCTTGTCACCTGGTTCTGCATGTTTCTCAGTCGTAATTAATATATATATGCAGAAGTGCAAATAGCAAGAGAGAAAATCATATTACAAAATGTAGAACAAAAACCTGTACCATATGGTTGACGTTAAGTGCTTGTTGATGATATGGAGAAACCAATCCTAGAGGCATCATCGGGGGTTTATGTGAGACGGTTCTATTGACTGGTGTTACACTTAGAGACAGAGCCAGCATATCATGGTTTTCTTCCATCTTTGATATATGTCTGTGAAGCAGATGGAGAATGTAGTTGCTACGAGAACTGTAGTATAGAAAACAAATTGTTTAAAACGAGACTGTACTGAATTTATAGGAAAGATCAGAAGTGTAGAGACGCGAATGTTCAGATACATAAACGCGTCTGTAAGAAACTGATGAGTTGCGACTTCCCCCCAAAGGCATCGGTTCGACTATAGGCTTTATTATATTATTTCGGTTATATTGGGCTTTTTATATCAGAGCTCTGAAGCCCAACATCAAAACTTAAGCCCATTATTTGAAAGAGGAAAGGGTCTCCATGCAAAAACAAAAGACTCGGACCATCGAGCCTTATGGCCCTTAGTAATTTACGTATATACCCCCTAAGCGATATTATTTCCATTTTAGGATTAGGGTTTATTTGTACTCTCTAATGTGAACTTACGGAAAAGTCCTCAATATGACCGACTTAGCCTGAGTCGGTGGATCTCAGCAGTATCTCAAGCATCTATAAATCAAAGACCTTACCCTTCACTTTTCGTTATTACATCAAATCCCTAACGCGCTTAGCCGTCTCTTCTCATCCCACATCTCTAGCTAGGTCGCGAGTCTAAAGCTTTCTGGGTTTTCTTGTTTGGGTTGGTCAACTCTGAATCCAGCTTCGGGTTTTCTTAGTTTAGGAATCGATTGCTTCGTTCCCTTTCCCCCTTATCTCCCCCGATTCGATCTGAAAACAATATGTCGCGAGTTCTCACTTGCCCGCCGCTTGTGATTGCAAGGAACCGGGCGAGCGTTCGGAACTTGGTCGAATCGACTAAGGTTCGTTGAGAACCACAAATCTGGTTTCTTGCTTCAATTCTTTGTTTTTTCCCATAAAACCTAATTTTGGATTTCGGTTTTTGGAAAACTTATACATATATATATGTAGAAATCTTTGGATTTTGTTGTCATGGCTAGAGAGTCTCAATTGTATATAAATATATAAATCTATATACGTTTAGCTGCCCTGTTCGCATAAACCATACTCATTATATCTATATAACTGTAAATTAGGTTTTCCTTTAGTCTTGTTTTCCACTGTATTAGGTGATTCCAGGAACCAGGTAAGCTGCATTGTTTTTCATTCTAGTAGGATGATTTTGATGGGTCTAGTGATGTGTATAGGTTAGTTTCTAAGGGATTTTTGCATCTCTTGTGTCATGTGATCTTGTTTGGTTTGCTGTATTGGTGAGTCGTGGGATGGTTGTGCCGAACTTGTGATCTGTAAGACGCCGATTCTGAAACCTTTTATTCTAATGAATTAAAGCTTGAAAGAATCACAATTGATTCAATAAACCCGCTCCGGATTGAGAAGAAGGAAAAGAAGGAGAAGAGAGAACATAAGAAAGTAAAGGAAAAGAAGGAGAGGAGAGAACATGAGAAAGTAAAAAACCTGGAGAAGTCTCATAAACATTCGTCCAAGAAAGCTCATGATACGCATAAACAACAGATTCTTTCTTCCAAGAAAGTCTCAGATGAGTCTGACGAACTTGAGAAGAGTGGTTTGACACAAGAGCTTGAGGAACCTCAAACCCACCTCGGATATCTCTCTGATGGAAGCCAAAATAGTAAGAAGAGGAATAGAGATGACTCTCCTCCACCTGTTGAAAGTCTCATCAAAGGTTTGTATTTATACTTAAATGCAGTAAGGATGATCTTTGTTAAGTGATTAACATTTATACTTTTACATGTATTTGCAGCTGCACGTGTAGCAGGTAATCCTCTACGGATTCGATTGATCTTCAAGAAACCAAAGGCAGAAGTTTCAGCTCTGCCTCGAGAGGATCTTGTTTGCTCCACTTTGGTTGCAAAGCCTCTCTGTCACCAAGATGTTATAACAAGTTCAATCCCATGTCCAAAAATATCTAAGCCTGAACAGAATCTGCCGTCAACATCAGTGGCTGCAATTGATGAAACAAGGAAAAGAAAGAAACACAAACCAAGCAAAGAAGATCGATACAATGCATTATTTGATGATTGGACACCTTCTTCCATTTGTTTAGCGGATGTGACTGGTTCGAAGGACGATGATGATGATTGGCTATTTGGGAAGAAGACGGAAATGATGCCTAAGCCCAAAGCAGCAGTCGAGATTGATGAGGACATGCAGATGAGACCCGTTGATTCATCTTGGCCTAGAGCTCAGTTTATGTCCCAAGTTGGGATGTATTCTTTACCCTATGCAGTCCCGTTCTAATGCTCCAATTTTGCTCTAGATTTAGTGTAGCTTGTACAGCAATGTTTGACTGATTGTAACCACAATTATAATCTAACCCAATTTTGTTAGTTTTACTGATTGTAAACCACAATAATAATGTAACCCAGTTTTGTTTGATATCCCTCTATGTTTCACTTTGTATCAGCTCTGTAGCCTTTGACATCTATCAGTTCTCATATTGATATTCTCCACTCCGATGACCTCTAACGTGATTTGACTCATTTGAGATTCATAAATGAATCGGGGAACGAGAGATGAGAATGGATGGAAATAAACACTCTTGTGATCTTGTCTTCAGTCAAAGGCTCAAAGCTCTGCCATGAACATTTATCACAAGTTTTTTTTTTGTTTATCTAAAGATGTGGACACTTGAAGCTTTTATAATTACAGACTGATAATCGTAATTTTCCTGTCACCATAGTCTTATCAAATTGACATATTTTTCTTTTCGTTAAGAAAACACTAAAACAAATCTGGTTGAGTTGGAGATCCAGAAACGATGGTTTAAACAAAACCAAAAAAAATAAAAGAAACTGTGAAGTCTATTATTCGTGCGCCCAACTGGAAAAGAAAGGAAAAAAAACTGCTGACAGACGAAAGAAGAAAGGATGAGGACGCTCGCCGGAGTAGAAGACGAGGAGAAGTGGCTGGCGGAAGGAATCGCCGGAATCCAGCACAACGCTTTCTTCATGCATCGCGCTTTGGTCCATTTCTCATACTTTTTTTCTCCGCCGAGTTTTTAAATCTCTTATTGATCTGATGAATCCTTTAATTGGACACTCAGGACGCAAATAATCTCAGAGAAGTTCTCAAGTACTCCGCTCTGATGCTTTCGGAGCTCCGCACATCTAAACTCTCTCCTCAGAAATATTACGATCTCTGTAAATTCCCCATCGCCACAACTTTGAATCCTCTCCGTTTTGAGCTTCTGTGTTGACCGTTTTCTTATGATAATTTATCTCTTCTGATTCGGCTTACTTTTAGATATGCGAGCTTTCGATCAATTGAGGCAGCTGGAGATTTTCTTTAAGGATGAGACTAGGCATGGATTACCGGTGGTTGATTTGTATGAGCTTGTTCAACATGCCGGCAACATATTGCCCAGAATGTAAGCAGATTAATTTAGATTCTTTTTCATCACTGTGAGCTAGTTTTTTGCTCAACCAGATGAGGATCTGATCATCTCAGTTATCTCATCTAAATTGGACTTAAGTTATGAATTTGATTACGAGATTTTACTTGAACATGGCGATTTCTTGAGACAGCTAGGCTCAGAATGAGATTATTTGTTTTTCTTGAGACAGCCATTATGTTTCTCTTAGGCTGCTTTGACTCATCTTTCTAAATAAAATCTACAGCCTTGTAACTGAAACACCTGATGTTGATCTACCAGGTATCTGCTATGCACGGTAGGGTCTGTTTATATCAAAAGCAAGCAGGCTCCTTCTAAGGATGTTCTTAAGGATCTTGTGGAAATGTGTCGTGGTGTTCAACATCCCATTCGTGGCCTCTTTTTGAGGAGTTATCTTGCTCAAGTGAGCAGGGATAAGTTACCAGAGATTGGCTCAGACTACGAAGGGTGGGTCGTTAATATGTTTTCTCTCTTCTTTTCCCAAGAGATTTGGTTGCATAGCTTTTTTTTTTTTAACTCTCCTTTCGACCTTCCTGTAGAGATGCTAATACTGTGATGGATGCAGTGGAATTTGTGCTACAAAATTTTACAGAGATGAATAAGCTCTGGGTTCGAATACAACATCAGGTGAATTTTCGATCTTTGAAGAGTTGATGGTATTTGGATACGCATAGCACCTCTGCACTTGCATGCCTCTGACTGAAGCATAAATGAACGATGAAGAGCAGGCTTTTGGTCATGCAGGTTGTGTGGTGCTTGTAAATCATTGATATTGGTGAACCTGAGCTGAGGTGTTCCTTGGACTGCAGGGACCAGGTACAGTTCGAGAAAAGCAGGAGAAAGAGAGGAATGAACTTCGTGATCTTGTACTATCATAACCCTCACTTGACTGAATATACTATTTTACTTATGTCACTGCCCACTGAGTTGTATTTAATGTTTTCCTCTCAGGTTGGAAAAAATTTGCATGTTCTAGGACAGATCGAAGGTGTTGACCTTGAGATGTACAAAGAGACTGTTCTTCCTAGGGTCTTAGAGCAGGTTCAGTAGTTTTTTTTTTTTTTTTTTTTAAAATTATTATCAGTTCCATTTTCATAGAAGAGTTTCAGTTACTATATAATCTGCTAAATCTGAAAACCTTGAACAGGTCGTCAACTGTAAAGATAATCTGGCTCAGTATTATCTGATGGAGTGCATAATTCAAGTCTTTCCGGATGAGTACCATTTGCAAACTCTTGAGACCTTATTGACTGCTTGTACCCAACTAATGGTGGGTAGGCTAGCAATCAAGTTTTTCTCTCTTTCCTACTCTCCAATGCAATTCCAGTTACCTAAATGCTTTGTTTGGTGCTTTCTGATTAATTCTTCTTATGCTGCCATAGGGTCTATCTGAACTGTCTGTATTGCTATTCACTATTCTAGTTTTTTTGCTAGTATTTCTGGTATTCTTTTGTTTTTTTCTTGGTGACTAGGGCTTTGGCTTACCAGTTAGAAGTTCTTAAAGTAGGTCCTTTATCTCTTACACTTTGACAGAGACTATAAGCAGGGAATCCTCAACGAAGAACATTGTTTGTTTTAAAATTTACTCTTCACTTTTCTCACTTGAGTTCTTTGACCTTTTTCTTTCCTCGCTGACCTTTAAGAAATATTTTATCAGCCAACTGTTGACACCAAGATAGTGTTAACCCAACTAATGGACCGGTTGTCAAACTATGCTGCCTCAAGTCCAGATGTAAGTGCCTGTTGTGCTATCATCGTTCCTTTTTTTTTGTTTGATGTTAGATATATGTATCCTTATTCTAAACTTCTGGGCAGGTGTTACACGAATTTTTGCAAGTGGAAGCTTTTGCTAAATTGAGCAATGCAATTGGAAAGGTGGGCTCCATTAAAGAGAAATCTATTATGAATGCAAATTTCTTTTGGCTATTGGACACTTGAATCATAACGGCTCTTAGAATAGTCCTATGTAGGTCCTCAGTACCTTGAGATGTAGTCAGCTTGATTTTGGTTTGTCATGCTATTTTCCGGTTTTCGCTCATCTTCTCTTAATCAATTCTTTTGTTAAGCATTGCAAATTAGTTACTTCCTTGACATATGATGGAAAATAGGCCACTATAGTCTGAATTTATGTCCTCTAGTTGTTAGATTTGAGACTTCAGTATTTAGAAGAGGAGCGCATGTAAATTAATGCAGCACTTATGAAAAACCATTAAAAAATATCAAGCTATAAAATTGCTGGATGATGCATCTAGTTTAATTTGATCTCAAACCTTTTTTCCTGGTCATTCAGTTACCTGCCTCAGTTCATATTGTAAATTCTGTTGGTCAATAGACTCAATGCTTTGTCTTTGCTTTCTCCAGCCTCACTGCTGATGCTTTATTTTCTTGAAATACATTCATATGACATATGGATTTGGTGTGGCTGCAGGTGATAGATACACAGCTTGAGATGCCTATTGTTGGAGCTATGACTCTGTTTGTCTCTCTTCTGACTTTTACTCTCCGGGTTCATCCTGATCGGCTTGACTATGTGGATCAAGTATTGGTATGGTATCCTTTTGTGGCCATATGTTTCTAATTTTAGTCAAATGTTGTCTTTGTAGCTTGTATCGACACTATATAATTTTTGTTTATATCTTCAGAATCAGATGGTTTCATTATGAATGGTGTAAAATGCATTATTAACGTTTCATGAATACTGAAGCTGGTGTAGAAACTAACTCTTGATCACCGCAAACATTGTAGGGTGCATGTGTAGTTAAGCTTTCCAGTGTGCCCAAGCTGGAGGACGCCCGTGCAATGAAACAAGTTGTTGCACTTCTAAGTGCTCCTTTAGAAAAATACAGTGACATAGTTACAGCTCTTACATTGTCAAATTATCCGCGTGTCATGGATCATCTTGATGATGGAACAAACAAAGTAATGGCAATGCTTATTATTCAAAGTATAATGAAAAATGATTCGTGTATATCAACTGCTGATAAGGTATACTACTTGCTCTCTTCATTTAAAGATGTAGATATATGTACTGTGATAAAATGCTAAGTTTGTGTTCATTAGGTTGAGGTGCTGTTTGAATTGATAAAAGGACTTATTAAAGATTTGGATGGAACCAACGTGGAGGAGGTGCTGTCACTATAATCCCTTTCTTTCTTTTTGGTGTGGTTTATGAGCAACTCCTAATAGCTCTAATCTAATACATTGGTCCTGATGGAGTTTCTGTGTTTTTCTTTAGCTTGATGAGGAGGATTTCCAAGAGGAACAAAACTCAGTTGCCCGTCTCATACATATGCTTGATAATGAAGAACCAGAGGAGATGCTAAAGGTTAAACATCATAAATTTACTTATCTTTCGGGTTCAATAGTTATATGCATTTTGCTCCTGAGCCTATTGTTTTCCCATGATTTTGCTTGATATGCATGGAATGGTTAAAGCTACTTGTTCAGTTAACCTCAACCTGGTTTTCCCTTTTTAATTCCTTGGAAGTAAACATTTTTTTGTGTTACTCCACTCACCCAAAACATCCTACTGCCCGCATGCTCCACTACCTTGAAGCCGCCTGCATTTATTATATTGACCTGCAAACCGGTTTCAGTCCCATTGGCATTCTTTTATAGAAGTCAATAGATAAACAATGGCTATGAGGCCATGGTTTCTTATAAAATGATTAACCCTAACGAATGAGAAAATAAATATCTTAACTAGGTATTTTACTGATATGCAGATTATATATGTTGTGAGAAAGCACCTTATGACAGGAGGATCTCGACGCTTGCCTTTTACCGTTCCCCCACTTGTTTTTTCTGCAGTTAGGGTATATCTCTTATTTTCCCTATAATTTGCTTATATATTGATGGATATATTTTCTGCTTTAAGACAAGTGTTTGACTTTAAGAATTGCTTAAATGTTTCTGTTGCAGCTGGTCAGGCAGCTAGAAGCCCAGGGTGGAGATATAGCAGGAGAAGATGTTCGAGCAACCCTGAGAAAGATTTTTCAAATTCTCAACCAGGTTTGTGAGCTTTCCTTTTTCTTATTTTTCTTATATCTAAGAGAGAGATACATGTGTTATTACTTCATTGAGGCTGGCTTCTCAGGAGTTAAATGCTTCTCAGGAGTTAAATGATATTCTTGTGAATCGTTTATCTGAATTTACTCTTTGATAAATTCATGTTCTCTCTTATATAAACCTTTTCTAAGTGTGATTTGACATATTAGATAGTTCAGTTATCGATCAAAACTGATGCACTTTTTCAATATCAGGTTATCTGTGATAGTTTTAATTTCTCTCTGAGTTGTTTATGACACATGTAATGTTCAGTATCTTTTGTAATCCATTAAACATGTGTGTTATTTCAGACAATCGAAGCTCTTTCCTCAGTACCATGTCCCGAACTGGCTCTAAGGCTCTACCTCCAATGCGCTGAGGTAATATATAAGTTTACCAAGAAAATATGGAAAACCTTTGAACAAACCCAGTTACTATTTCATAGCCATTTTTATAGTATGTATGGGATCCAGTATTTTGTTGTTCATATGATCTCAGTTCACCTGTAGGCAAGGTGTAACATCTGACATAGTATTCTCACTATTTTATCTCATTTTGGATTAATGATCAGGCCGCAAGTGATTGTGATCTTGAGCCTGTTGCTTATGAGTTTTTTACCCAAGCATTTATACTATACGAGGAAGAAATCGCGGTAATTTCTACATTCTTTTATGTGTGAACTTAACACAAAAATAGCTCTAAGTCTCTCTGAAAACTTTGTACTTCTATTTTTCTTGGTGGTGTGTTGTATAGGACTCAAAGGCACAGGTAACTGCGATTCATCTGATTGTAGGAACCTTGCAAAGGATCAATGTTTTTGGTGTTGAAAACAGAGACACCTTGACACATAAAGCAACTGGGGTAGAGATTTTTTTCCCATGCTTTCCCATAAGCTTTCTTCTCAACTATTTTCCAAACCGTAAGTTGACTTTCCCTTTTGACCAGTACTCAGCAAGGCTTTTAAAGAAGCCTGATCAATGTCGAGCAGTATATGCATGCTCTCACCTCTTTTGGGTCGATGATCTTGAGGGTAATAAAGATGGAGAAAGGTAAGTGCTTTTCTTCTTTCATAAATCATAACTCTCATACTTTAATGTCAGTTATCTTTTTATCTCCACAACTAACCGATTCTCGATGGTATCTTGCAGAGTTCTTCTCTGTTTAAGACGTGCACTGAGGATAGCTAACGCAGCTCAACAAATGATTAATGCAACCAGGGGTAGCAGCGGACCAGTGACGCTATTTGTAGAAATCCTGAACAAGTCAGTATACCGAACCAATTAAAAACAAAACATCTGGGATTTGATTCATACACAAGCAGCATTTCAATACTAATAATGGGTTTTCAATACGACAGGTACATTTACTTCTTTGAGAAAGGGAATCCACATATCACTCCATCGGATATACAAAGCCTCATAGAGTTAATCAACACCGAGATGCAAAGCGACAACGGTAACACAACAGTCCACTCAGATCCCTTCTTTACAAGCACATTGCGGTACATTAGGGTCCATAAACAGAAAGGTGGTTTGATGGGTGAGAAGTATGACCCCATCAAGTTGTAACTTATATCTGCAGCAGAGTCCTCGTCAAATTTCGAGAGGAGTTTCTATATTTTCCGAAGAAATGGTGAAACCACTGAAAAGGATGTGTGTATACATGTTTTGTTTTCATTTCGGTCCATGACAACATGGAGATAACTTTTGTAATCTTTATTTCCTGTTCCTAATACTCACCTGTGTGTATAGAATCCTCGTTTCTGTAAACTATTCTTTGAATCTGTGCCTTAGTTCAACGTGGTTTCTATTGTATATATCACAATACGTTCTTAGCTGTCTAAATCTAATTTACATGCCGATCAATAGAACGAGTTTCTGAGCTTAAAAGAAGTCACTATAAAATTAATTAAATTCATCTGTTAACGGAAAATACAAATTGGTTCCCAACAGCAAAAACAAAGACAAAAAAAGAAAAAGAGAGAGAGGATTAAGAGATTAGTCTACATAGCAATAGTACAACAACACACCAAGAACTCATCTCCTTGGCCTCACTTCACACATTAGATTCACCAGCAAAAGAAAAAGTGTGCAAAGTTCGAAACAAGCCGGATTCAACAACTATACAATGTTGCTGCATTTTGATGCTGGTGTTTTCTTCTTCAACTTCATTTGTTACCTAAATCGATGATCACAAGAAGACGCAACGATTCTTGTTCTTTTTCTTCTTCTTCTGTTTCGGTGGCTGAAGCACCACTTTGATCGCTGCGTCAAAGACTGCTTTCACATTCTGAAAACCAAAGACCCAACATACATTTTCACTCTCTGAAACAAAACAAAAAGACACGTGAGATATGATTTATGTGTGTAGTATACCTGCTGCGTCTTTGAGCTACATTCAATGTAGATTGGAGATCCTATCAGTTTCTTTAGTTCCTCTCCCTGCAGACAAATAACTAAAGATCAAGAACTCTTTACGCAAAAACTACTGTTCTGAAGAATTTTGGATTGTGGAGTTATTTACCTGGTTTGTAGTAATTGGCACTGCACCAGGATGGTCTATGAAGAACTGCTTGTCATCTCGAAGATCTATAAATTCCCACGTTTGAACTATTATCATCTCTTTCTTATTACAAGGAAAGAGTTTTAAACAAGAACAGAATTGATACCGAGTTTTGTTCCAACAAGGATAATAGGAACACCAGGGGCATAATGCCTAAGCTCAGGAATCCACTGAGATAAAGCAAAACTCAAAATTAGCTCAGCAAAGAGATTATTATTACACAAATGAAGGGAGTAAGATCAATTAAAAAAGCCAACCTTCTTGGCTACATTCTCATAGCTAGCCTTGCTAATAAGCGAGAATGCAAGAATGAAGACATCTGCACCACGGTAACTCAATGGTCTTAACCTGTTATAATCTTCTTGACCTGCAGAAACCCAAGAATCAGTCAAAATGAGACCAGAAAAAAACAAGAAAACCAAGATTTGATGGGTTTTAAAAGGATTTATTCACCGGCTGTATCCCACAATCCAAGATTCACTGTGTTCCCATCTACAACCACATTAGCACTGAAGTTGTCGAAAACAGTTGGAACATAGTCCTGAGAGTCAATAACAAAATCATGGTAAACTAAAATAAGTTTCTCAAATCCAACGCAAATAAAACTGGATCATCAATAACACACAAACAAAAGAACAAGATTGTTAATCCTCAAGTATGAAAATTTGACTTATAAACATGAAAGCCCAAAAATGAACCAAGAACAATGCTCTAACTGAGATTCTCATTGGTAAAGATAATAACTACGAACCTAAATCCACGGAAGCTTCATATAAGTTCCAAAGAAAATGTCAGATTTGACTTTTACTAGTTTACCAGCTAATCACATTCAAGAACAAAAGATACATAATCTCCAAAACCCCCCATACTCAAAAGATCACACTGTTGTGAGCCAAACAAAAACACTAACAAGAAAAGCAAATTAAAAAAAGGACGAAACTTTACCGTAGGGAAAGTGTTGCTTGTGTAAGAAATCAGCATACATGTTTTTCCGACGGCACCATCACCGACGGTGACACACTTTATAAACCTCGAAGCACTCATCTCAGCAGCAAAAATTCAAAAAAAAAAAAAAAATCACTTCTTTTCTTTTTTTGGTTGTTTCTTCAAATCCCAGCCATTCCCAAGAACCAAGACACAAGCTTTACTCACTCAAAAAAAAAAAAAACGTAAACTCGAACTCCAATCCCCCAATAGCACAACACGGGCAAAATTCAAAAGTAGCAAAACTGAAATCAATGAGGGAGAGAGAGATAATGGCAGAAGAAGAAGAATGAGAAAAATATTTGCTTTAAATTTTTTGTTGTTTATTTTTTCTCTGGTCTTGTTTGGGCCGTTGGTGACTTTGAGATGAGCTTTTCATACAACCTTATGCCAGCTAACGCTACACCAAACAACACCTTATCATTTACACTCACCCCACTTTAAAATTATACTAATCATTTTCAGCACTTTCATTTTTGAATTTGAATGCAACTATGTGAAATTTTCCCTTGTATGAGCTTTTTATACAATGTTTTCTTTATAATAATATAAATAACAATTTTTAAAAAATATATGTTTTAATTTTTCAGTTAGCCAACCAAACAACCTATTTCACTAATAAACATGGATTTTGTTTTTAATATAAAAAAATCTAATGTGATTCATCTAAATAGAAAATGTAAAGAAGAAGACAGCAAGCAAATAAAGAAAGATTATAATTTTTAAAACTAAGAGTAAAGCACAAGAGACCAAACTATAGGGAGGCATGAAATTGAAATTAAAATTAATCATTGGATTGGGACGACTCTCGTCAAGAACGTGCGACTTAGTGTTACGGCACCATTTCATTCCTTGTCCCTTAAAATTTTTTATTCTTCAATTCTCTTTTATTTTGTTGTCAAGACAAGAGTGCTTTTGTTTTTGGTTTATGTATACTAGTACTTGTTGTAATCTAAAGAGTTCTCTTCATCTTTACGACATATATAAGAATCGGAAAGAAAACAAACTTACAAGAACGTGCTCAGCTCTCATTCAACCAACCAAAACCAATGAACATATGCCACATCATGAACTGTCGTCTCACATTTGTTTATCCAACCAAACCATACAGTCGCATTATCACATTTTTTCATCCAACGATAGATGGACGAATCAAAAGTTCAGCAATTATGTATATATATTTATATGATCTTTACTAATAATAAGCAATCATATAAATTGAAACTAGAGAAGGGGTTAGAGTTAGCTCTACGCTTCTACCTACTCTTCACCAAAAAAACCTTTTTTATGTACTTTACCGGTTCATTCTATATTTTCTTACATCAAATTGAATTTCAGACTTTATGATTTCTTTTATACGTATTTAATATGGTTGATGATGATGTTTAGTGCTTGTAGTTAAAGCGACTTATTTCGAAAATCTTATTAATTAAATAAAGCGACATCATCGATTTTATTGGTAAAAACAGAAACAAAAAAAAACAAATGGAGTGTGATAATAAGGCCCAAAACACAAAAGACCGGGAAAAACACTGACACAGCTGGTAGCCAGAAAAGACAATAACACGAAGGCTCACTTGAGGCCCATTAGCAATTTAGGACCATTAGTAATTTAGGCCCATAATATTTATCATCATTATCCCCGCCGGATTAGACCATTTCTTCTATGATTCTATTCATCTTAAGGTGTTTCTATAGTGTTAGCGAATGATAAACTTGTTATTAGTTGGTAACCAAAAAAAAAAAAAAATTGTTATTAGTTGGTAACCAAAAAAAAAAAACTTGTTATTAGTTATATTAGTAAGTAGTATTAAAGAAGGATACGCACGCATACGCTCGTTGAGAGAAGCTTGGTGAGTTGGTGACGAATATGGTACATGGTGAGACTGAAAAATTAAACTGTTGGTAACTTTGCCACACTAATTGTAAATCATATATATAAAAGTAAGGTTTCACTCTCTCCTTATTGGTAGAAAAACATTGAAGGCTTTAATTTTTTTTTTTAAATAAATAAATATTTGTTACAATCCTTCAATACAAAATTTAATTACACTATAAGTTATAATCAAATTGCAAAGAAAATAAAAGGACTTAATCATATATCATTCAACAAAATAAATAAATAAAATAAATGTTTATGACAATCATTCAATACAAAATTTAATTACACTATAAGTTATAATCAAATGGCAAAGAAAATGAAAGGACTTAATCATATATCATACAACAAATTTTATAAGCCTTATTGGTGGAAAATTATTTCAAATCATATATATAAAAGTAAGGTTCCACTCTCTTTATTGTTTCATTTTGTATTTATTTTTTAAAATATAATATTTATTTTAACCAAAAAAACACATTTAATCATATACATTAATTCATACTTTAAATTTACTACTAAAATGAAACTGAAAATTATATAAATTTCCAAAGACTATTGGTTTTCTTTATTGAATTCCAATTAAACACACTATAAATTATAATTATAACTCCTCTAATTTAATTATTTTAAAAATGTAACTTACATCACTTCTTATCATATAAATAGTCATTTTCACATCCTTCTCTACCATATCTCATATCTTCATTATTCTCTTTGTTTTTTTTTAAAGTTTTTGCATGGGGTGAAAACTCATTTAAAATATCATTGTAGAGTTTGATTAATTATTTAGTTTAAACTTTTGTTTTCAATTTTATTTATTTTTTGTTTTTATGTATTTCTTTATTTCTTCATTGTTTTTTATATTTTTAAATGTAATACATATGTATAATA